CCCCACCCCCGCCCGCTGTGGCAGCCGCCGCTCTATCGGTGCGGCTTCACGTCACCCCACGCCTCTCCCCGCTGCTGGTCAGGGGAACCACCGCGGAGCGCCGCAGCCGCCCTCCCAACTTCTGCCTTTTGCTCTGAAACGCGCGGCGTGCCCAAAGGTAACGATCAGCCAAAAAAAAAAAAAAAAAAAAAAAAAGCACAACATGGCGTCCTTTACTTATTCCCTCATAACAAGAAAGGAGATGTCTTAGATGAACGCGAGGGCAAAAAAAAACCCGTAACCCCGATCGCATCCAATTTCGGTGCAGCCAATGGAGGTGAGCGTTAGCCAGGCTAATGTATGAATTTTGCAGAAGTGTGCCACATCGCATGCAGGAGCAGAAATGCAAACTATAGCCTAGAGTGGTTTGAAGTCTGCCCCAGCCCGAGCCTTCCACTCTCACTGGCGCCAGAGTTTCATTCACGGCCCGCCCGTGCTTTCCATACGCGGCGCTCCCATTGTCGCCCGCCTTCCCTTTGTGCCGAGCCGCCCCGCCGCCACCCCCGCGCCCCGGCCGCGCACCCCGCGCCGCCCGCCCGACCCCCGCGGCTCCGCGTGTACCCTGCGAGAGCGCGGAGCGGGCTGCGCTGCCTCCGCCGCGCCGGGGCCGGGCCGTCTTCAGAGCCGGGGCCGGGGCGGCAGCGCGGGCACCCCGGGCCGCGGGGCTCCGCCGGCGCTGCCCATGCTGGAGCGGAGCAAAACAAAACATACACACAAGCACGCACACACACGCACAGGCACACACACGGCGCTAGCAAAGCGGGAGCTGTAGCTTTAAAAAAAAACGCTCCTCCGCCGCTTCTCCTCCGGAGCCGGGAGCCGAGTTAGTTTGAAGAGGCACTTTCCAAAAAAAAAAAAAAAAAAAAAAAAAAAAAAAAAAAAAAAAAAAAAAAAAAAAAAAAAAAAAAAAAAAAAAAAGGAGACAAAAAAAAAGGAGCGAGAGAAGGCGCGAGCGTGCCGCGCGGTGCAGCGCAATGCAATGCACGGCTCGGCACAGCACGGCGCGGCGCGGCGCGGCACAGCACAGCACAGCACGGCACGGCACGGCACGGCACAGCGCGCTCCGGCCCGGCCCGGGCAGCCGCGGGTGCAGCCGCTGCCGCGTTCCTTACCTTGAGCACAGGATGAGCCGCGAGCCCCCCTCGGCTTTGGGCTCTGCTGGGTTTGTGTGTGGATGGGCTCAGTTTTTTTTGCCTTTATTACTATCTTTGCTCCTCAGATCCTGCTGTGATTATTATTATTTTTAAGGCTTCTCTCTCCTCGCTCGCTCGCTCTCCCCCTCTCTGTTTTTGCCGCTTCTTTCTATTTATGTTGTGTGTGCGCGGATGTGTGTGTGTGTGAGGGGGAAAAAAGCCTTTAAATGAAACTGCCGAGGCTGTTATGAGAAGAAAGGCAATAATCCCGTCTCTAAATAACAGAGGGAAGGGAGAAGAGGAGGAAAAAAAGCGAATTCTTGCTCAGGGCTTTGCAAACGCCTGCAGGGCAGAGGATTAGGCTACAATTAGCTCAGCCCTTTGCTCTCGCCCTAGCTAATTTTGCGATGAAAATTGGATATTTTCCCCTGCTTTTAGTGAAGGTCCCAAATTTATTTCACACCCCCACCCCCCGTAAAACAAAACACGAGCCCTGGAAATGGATGGGGCCGGGAAGCGCCGCACCACCGCCCGCGGAGCCCTACGCTGCCCGCGGAGCTGCGCGGCCCGGCCCGGCCCCGCCGGCGGTAACGGGTCGGTGCCGGGGAGACTCGGGCCGCTGTCACGTCCTTCCGCGGGCTTACTGAAAAGAAGAAGGAGGAAAAGGGGGAAGGGGGGGAAAAAGCTGATTTTAATCATTGTCATTTGGTCTGATGTAATATTTCCCCAGGCGTTTTCAACTAGGCATAAATTTTCAGCTCCCAAATAAGTAACGCAGGGCACGTTTCTCACATCTCCCGACTCCTCCGTTACAATTAGGGTAGCACCCACTCCGCACTTGTTGATAAACTACATCAAGTTCAAAAATAAATAATGAAAAAAATCGCCGCGGCCCCCCCGGGCGCATCCCCAGCGCCGGCGGGGTGCAGACGGGGGGTCTCGGCGGCGGGGGGGGGCCGCAATTATTTCCAGCCCGCCCGCCCGCCTCCCCCTCCCTTTCACCCTTGCTAATGTCTCGCATTGTAAACGCCAAATTTCCTGTAGGCCATTAAAACCAAATGACGTCTATCGACATGCATTGTGCTATTGCGGAGCGCCCTGGCAGCCCGCCCCCGGCCAAAAGCGCCATTTCAATTAGAGCGTGCGGCGCGATGGCGCGGGGCTCCGCGGGCGGCTCCGCGGCCGCGCAGCGCGCCCCGAAGGGAAGGGGCGGGAACCCCCCTCCGCACCAAAAAAAAAAAAGAAAAGAAAGAAAAAGAAAAAGAAAAAACAGAAACGATAATAAAAATTAAAACAACGCGAAGCCCGCCCCTCAACTTTCCGCCCAAGACGCGCCTCCGCCCGCGGCTCCGCGTTTCCCCGAGTCCCCGCAGGGATTGAGAGCCCTGCGGAGAGCGGCCCCCGCGGAAGAAGTTCGGGGGCAGCGGCGCCCCGCAGCGCCCCGCAGCGCCCGGCCGCCGCAGAGGAGGGGCTCCGGCAGCTGCGCGCCCGCGGAGCGGCGCCGCGCGTCCCGGTGGCCGCGGCCGGGCGGGCTGCAGCGCCTACTAGCCGCCGAGCGCGGCCGCGCAGGGAGTTACGCAACGCGCCGCGGCCGCCCGAAAGGTCAGCCCGGCGGCGGGCCGCGCTCCTCTCCGCGCCCGCCCGCTCTTCCCTCCGCGCCGCGGGGCTCGGGGCGACCCCGCCGGTGCCGGCCCGCCCCGACCGGCGGGAAACGGGGAAAGGCAGGCAGGACCCCTGCAATTCGGTTTTTTTTTTTTTTTTTTTTAAGTTATCTTCCGTGGCAGGAATAAACAGAAACTTTTCTCCTAAGGGTAGCTTTTTTTTTTCCTCTCTCTCTCTCTCTCTTTTTTTTTTTCTTCTCGAGTACAAACTACAGGAGAAGAGGGAAATTTTCTCATTAAAGTTACATCCCTGCAGTTAGTTCAATTACTTGATATATGCAGAAGATGTTGTAAATTTAAAGATTTAAATAGCTTACAAAGATGCCGCAGGCTCCATCAGTTAATTTCCTTAATTTATGGATTTTTAGCTGAGCTTCTGAAATGAAAAGGAGAATGAGAACTAGGTCAGCGGAGAGATTTGCATCCAGAACAGACTTAAATTTGTTTTCCTTGACCATCCCACCGGCCCAGGTGCGGTCCTTGCTGGGGTCCCTCCTCTGAGCCCTGCGCAGCCCCAAGGCCAGCTCTGCGCCGACGTGCGGCCGCTGCGCGTCCACACACGGCTGTCCCACCCGCCGTCGAGCCTGGCAGCAGCCCCAACAGTCCCATCTCTCACCGCTCAACAAGTGGAGCACGAGGAGGACGAGATCTGCCAAGGCTCCCTGACCTGTCTCCCAGCCCCAGCTATGTCGTGTTTCTATAGGGATGTATGGACCGCTAGGGATCACCTGACAACGTAATTTTTACTTCCTCTGTGATCTACTGACTGCTAAACGAAAAACAAATGTGAGAACCTTGAACAGCAAGTAGAGCACTGTAGAAATAGGTGCTTTTGCACTTAGGTGCAGTAAAGAGGAAAGAGAAGATGTAAAAATACTGCACTGAACAAAAAGTAGAAATTGTTTTCTGACTCATTCCAACACGACTGCCACAGGTACCACTCAACTGGCATGCATGGCTAATAAAGATCTGCTTTGTTTGTTTGTTTGCAGACCAAAGACTGAACTGCATTTGGGATGAAAGAGGCGTGCGCATGGTAGGATGCTTGTGTGGGATTGTTTGTGCAGGAGATACACAGAACAATGTACTTGAGAGCTTTGAGTTTTTCTCACCTGGATTAGTGCTGAGGATAGATAATAAAGGTGTGCATTATAGCTCTATATGCAGTTGCTCATTTCTTTCTTCTCACTCAAGTGTGCGAATGCCTTTCTGTTGTTGTGTTTCAATATGTATGAATATATACATATGAATTAATACTTGAAAGTTTGATACAAACTAAACAGTTTTAGGAAGCAACACTGCAATATGATTAGTATCAGTGTTTGTGATTTAACATTTCTTTTCCCACTAGATGAAGTTTCTAAGATTTGCAAGGTACATGTCAAGGACGGGTATATAAATGGATTTTTATTTATTCACAACTCCAAGACTAATTGCTTCTCTTTGCCTGAAGGCCAAGAGATTGGTTTTAATATGACACTTCAAAAGTATTCATAGAACTACAGAGATACTAAGTGTCATTGTTTAAGAGAGAAATCTCACTATGCTACTTGTGACCCTGAAAATAAATTCTTCTACTTTAGTTTGAATCCTAATGTTGTTTTTCAGAGTTTCACTTAGAGCTCAACTATTAAGAAGTGTACAAAGGAAAATATTAAATAGTATGTAGTGAAGAAAAAAGAAGACATACTATTAGAAGTGAACATAACTTATTCTCTCAAAAACTCTATTATCCTCCTTACAAAGCAATACAAAATTTATAACAGAAGATTCTTGGGCTAGGTTGTAAGATAGTACAACTAAAAGAGCTAAGCTGTAACTTACCATAGGTGTTTTAAAACCTCTTGGCTAAATGCCCCCCATGGGTCTATTAAGATATTAAATACTTCAAATAAAACACTTTGGATTTTTTAATCTTTGAAATTTTTTTTTTTTTTTTTTAATCAGCTGCTTTTTGTATTCTATGCAGATGCTTAGAAATTGATTTGGACAGAACCATTCTCTAATGTGTTTGTCAGTCTAATTTTTCCATAGCTCATTTCAACCTTTTCAGTGAACAGATCAGAAATTACCCAACACTCTGAAAACAG